GTGGCTAAGATTAACTCTTCAATTAAATAATAATTCTTTATTTTTATTACTTATTTCTTTATTTTATTATTTTAATTATTTAAATATTATGTTGACAATTGACCATTGACTTCGGCGTCGACCGTTGACTACGGCGTTGACCGTTGACTTCCGACGTTAACTTCTGGCATTGACCGTTGACTTTCGACGTTGATCGTTGACTTCCGGCGTTGACTTTTAGCATTGACTGTTGACCCTTAGCATGCATTGTGTATGAAGTAAATATGCATCAGTACTATGCACTTAGTATGAACTAAATATGCATCATAAATGAATTTTATATGTTATCCTTATGAACTAAATATGCACCAGTAATATCAACTATGTATGCACTGTTTATGTACTAAATATGCACGTTTTACTAACTAATTATGCATCAGGAATGAAATAAATATGCAACGAAAATATGCAATAAAATATACATTTTATACAATTAAATTAAATATAATAATTAATGATTTTTATTATATAATTAATTTTAATTTTAAATTGATTAATAACACAAATAAATTGTTATGACTGGATCTCAAATAAAATAGGTATGCACTTAGTATGAACTAAATATGCATCATAATTGAATTATATATGTTATCCTTATGAACTAAATATGCACCAGTAATATCAACTATGTATGCACTGTGTGTACTAAATATGCACAAACTAAATAAGCATCATGAATGAACTAAATATGCAATAAAATATACATTTTATACAATTAAATTAAATATAATAATTAATAATTTTTATTATATAATTAATTTTAATTTTAAATTGATTAATAACACAAATAAATTATTATGATTGGATCTCAAATAAAATAGGTATGCACTGTTCATGAACTAAATATGAATTTCGTAAGAACTAAATATGTATCATGAATTAAGTAAATATGCATAATAAATTAATTATATAAATATTATTATATATTTAAATTAAATATAACAAGTATGCATTTCGTATTAACTAAAAATATGCATCATAAATTACCTAAATATTCATAATAAATCAACTAAATATGCATCATAAATTACCTATATAAAATGTACATTTTGATTGCATATTTTTCGTTGCGTATTTAGTTCATTCATGATGCATATTTAGTTCATAACAGATGCATATTTAGTTCATATCAGGTGCATACTTAGTTGATATTATTGGTGCATATTTAGTTCATAAGGACTGCATGTGCAATTCATATCCCATGCATATTTAGTTCATATTGGATGCATGGTACTGGATGCATATTTACTTCATACATATAATGCATATTAGGGGTCAACGGGTCAACGTCGGAAGTCAACGGTCAACGTCGGAAGTCAACGGTCAATGTCGAAAGTCAACGATTCAACGCCGGAAGTCAACGGTCAACGCCGAAGTCAACTAATAATTATTTTATTATTTAATTAATATATATTTTAAGGAGTGGACTCATTTTAAGGAGTGTACTCATTTTAAGGAGTGTACTCATTGGATCCTCCCCCTATATATATACTAGTTTGCTTCCGGCTGTGCACGCACAGCCGGCTCAAATTTAGTCGATAATCAAGTTAAATTTGACTGTCAGTTAAACATAAGTTAAATTTGACTGTCAGTTAAACGTACGCATTACCAGACCAAGTTGCTTAGCTCATCGATCGAAGGACAGGAAAAAGCGATCGCTTTATGGCTTGTTCACGACCCAAGGTATCGACTCATAGCTTTGTCAGTCCTCGATCTTTTCAATTCCCTGGGTTCGTAGACAAGCGGGAAAGGGCATAATAGAATAAGAGGATTCGGAAAGGGATCGGTTCTTACCGAGCTAAGCCCTTGGTATCATTCCTCAAGCCTGTTGCAGATCGCGATATATCTGGCGAAGAAGTCAAAC